ATATACAAAGTGAACTTCATACTAAGTGAACCACATTTATAACTGTAATATAATTCTTACTAAAACCCTCCAAGATAAGTATTTCTTTCTTTTTCAATTTGAAAAAAAAAAACGAGACTCAAGCATTTTCAACTAATAAAATAAGTCATATAGAGCACCAGAGCTTCTCTTCCTGCATCTTTTTTTTTTTATATAAGATTAAACCATCATTATGCCATTCTTTTTTGTGGGGGTGAGTACCGGAGATTGAACTCAGGGGTACTCGACCACTGAACCACTTCCCACCTCTATTTTGTACTTTATTTAGAACCAGGGTCTCACTGAGTTGCTTAGCACCTTGTTTTTGCTGAGGCTGGCTTTGAACTTGCATTCCCCTGCCTCAGCCTCCTGAGCTGCAGGGATTACATTATGCCATTCTTCTTAAATGAAAACTAACTTAGCATTCCAGCTACCAGGTTAACTTGTGTAGACATTATTATTGGTCTTTGGGAAAGATAACAAGCTCTTAGGGATATGAGAATTGCTTTTTATCTACTGTAGCTGAGGAATGAAAAGGGAGAATTGACAATAAATGTCAACAAAAAAGAATTTTAAAATATATCAATATCTAGAGCAATGTCCATAAGATGTTTTTATAATTGTTCATAAATTAATATCCATCATCCTATTGGTAAATTATGAGCCAATTATGGCATAAAATGTGAATAAAGTAGAAGTGAAGTGTTTAGAATGTTTATACACTAAATGATTAAATTAAAAATTAACAATTTGAAGCCAGGTGTGGTGGTGTACGCTTGTAATTCCAGCAGCTCAGGAGGCTGAGGCGGGAGAATGTTGAGTTCAAAGCCAGCCTCAGCAAGGGTGAGGCTCTAAGCAACTCAGTGTGAGACCATGTCTCTAAATAAAATACCAAATAGCAGCTGGGGATGTGGCTTAGTGCTTGAGTGCCCCTGAGTTCAATCTCTGGTACTACTATCGTCCTACTACTACTACTAATAATTTGAATTTAAAGAGTATCAGTTACAAGGGAAATAATATTCATTCTTGACAACYACTTCAAGCATATAATAAGATCACAGTAAAAAGGATTTCATTGACTTTTTGAAGTAACTGAATTCATAGCAGATAGCACTAATAAGATATCACTCTTTGTGATGACACATGGGAACACAGTAATCCAAACCTCCTCCCAGCACAGGAAAACACGAATTAAGTTTACTCCTTAGATTATTCTAGGAGAAAAAAGGGAAAACAAGGATTATTGTTCTTCTCATTTAATATACCTGCCCAGGCTCATGTGACTTAGCAATAAGGCAATATTAATTAAACAAGTTAATGTGTCAGTTTGTATACTAAAACACTTAGGTTTCTTGAAAACCTCTTCAGACCTATTCTCAATTAGACATTTAATTTCTCTAGGTTCCAAATGTCACTGTTACTTGGAGAGACATATTGGAAGCACTTATTATTTCTCCTAGGTATCAAGGACTTGAATGACAGCTTACATCTTGCTACTATGAACTACTGAATAGTACCTTTGCGCAGAAAATTTCCTTCAGTGTTTCTCACTCCCATTTCCTGTTTTACAATATCATTATAATTTGCTTGTGGATTAGTCTTCATGTTCTGAAAGGTAGCCTGTTTCACAACAGTATCCACAACTTCTTCACTAAGTTCTTTCTCAAGAAATCTACAGATTTTCAGCACTGCACTTCTGAGGTCCTGAAAGAGTCATGAGTATGCATGAGTTACAGCTAAACACACAACATTTTCATATTCTAGTGAAATTGATTCCTGGAATGCAAAGAAGTGTCATCATATGAACGATGTAGTTTGTTATGAGAAGAGAATGAGGAAACAAACTGACATGATTATCTCAATTGATGCACAAAATATAATTTAACAAAACTCAACATCTTTTTATGATGAATTGCTCAATAAATCTGCAATGGAAGGAATCTACCTCAACATGAAAAAGTCTTATATGGAACAGCTAACAGGAAACTCAACTACGAGAGAAAGATTTTCATCTGAGATAGGAGTAAGTTCAACTCCATTTTCCACTTTTATTTATCATGATACTAGAAATACTAGCTGGAGCAACTAAGCAATAAAAGCAAAAAAAGGTACTGAAATAGAAAATAAAGCAAATGAAATGATCCCTGTTAGCCCATAAGATTATCTTATACATTATAAACCCCAAGAAAAGTACTCTCACCACACACCAAAACAAACAAACAAACAAACAAACAAACAAACAAAAAAACCCAAAACAGAACAAAAAAACATTAGAACAAAGAAATTTAAGTTTTAGAATAAGAAAACAAATATCTGAAAAGTTCTACTACCCAGAATACATAAAGAATTCTTACAAATCAACAAGAATAACAAAATCAGTCCAATTAAAAATTGGCAAAGGATTTAAATAGAGATTTCTTCAAAGTAGATATACACATGTCCAATAAGTACATGAAAAGATGCTCAKCATCACTAATCATTAGGGAAATGCAAATCAACTACAGTAAAGTACCACTTCACACGCATTAGGAAGGCTATTATTATTTTAAATTTTTAAATATTTTATTTATTTTTTATTTCAATACTTTTACTATTAAAAATAAACCACAACCAAAAAGAATAAGACCAATGACACAGAAAAATTAAGATTTATGCATGTTGGTAGAAATGTAAAAATGCTGCAAATGCAATGGAAATAGTATGAACCTAAAAACAGCATTACAATATTACCCAACAAATCCACTTCTGTGTATATACCCCCAAAATTGAAAGTAAACTCTCAGAGAGAGATTTGTACACCATGTTCATACATCATTATTCACAATGCAGAATATAAAAGTGATGTGTATGTATGTATATGTATAAGATACACAAATAAAATGTAGTAGATATGTACATTAGAATATTATTCAGCCTTAGAAGGAAGGAATTATGCTACAAATGCATGAACCCTGAAGACATTATGGTAAGTTCAGTTAAATGAGCCAGTCAAAAGATACTGTATGATTCCACTGATATGATATACTAAGACTAATCAACTTCATAAACAAAAAAAGTAGAATGTTTTTATACAAGACCTACAAGGGGTTGAGAGTGGAGAATGAGGGATTATAGCCTTGTGAATATAGAGTTTCAGTTTTGCAATATGAATTCATTTGAGAGTCGGATAGTGGTGATGTTGGCACAAGAATATGAACATACTTCATGACACACAACTGTTCCCTTAAAGAATGGTTAAAGCATGCTGGGAATGGTGGCTCATGCCTGTAATCTCAGGGACTCAGGAGGCAGAGGCAGAAGGATGGCCAGTTCAAAGCCAGCCTCAAAATTTAGCAAGGGCTAAGCAACTCTCTGAGACCCTGTTTCTAATAAAATACAAAATAGGGCTAGGGATGTGGCTCAGTGGTCAAGTGCCCCTGAGTTCAATCCCTGATACCCACCTCAAAGTGGTTAAAGTGGTCTATTTTATGTCATGGATATTTTATCACAAGTAAAAAGTTCAGTGGGAGGATAAAACCTAAACAGAATTACTATAGGCAATAGTACTTAACTGGAAAAACTGTATCTCAAAGAGGTTACTCCAGTTGAACTGGGCTGATTGGGCTGTGAAAAATAACCACACAAGGGACACAAATACCTTTTTCTTTGGGGTCATGTGACAGCTCCTCTGACTTTAAGGGTCCACAGGAAGAGA